TGAAGGAGACTGGATTTTGTTGGCCCAGGACAGGGTCCGGTGGAGGGCTTTGGTTAGTTCGGTGATGAACCTTTGGGTTCGGTAAGCCATCTGGTTGGTTGGGTCCACTATTTGGGAAGCCTGAGGGGAAGAGACCGCTGGGAAGACCTAGACGTAGATGGGAGGATAATCTCAGGCGGGATCTATGGGAGATAGGAGTTGAAGGAGACTGGATTTTGTTGGCCCAGGACAGGGACCGGTGGAGGGCTTTGGTTAATTCGGTGATGAACCGTTGGGTCCACTATTTGGGAAGCCTGAGGGGAAGAGACCGCTGGGAAGACCTAGACGTAGATGGGAGGATAATCTCAGGCGGGATCTATGGGAGATAGGACTGGATTTTGTTGGCACAGGACAGGGTCCGGCGGAGGGCTTTGGTTAGTTCAGTGATGAACCTTCGGGTTCGTAAGCCTTCTAGTTAGTTAGTTATTGTGTTATTTGCATAAAATACATAGCAAGACTGCACAACGGGCTTATCATGTCTATCTAGTTGATTCAACTTGAGAGCCACTGTGCGGATTTTGATTAAATATTATGTGGCGGTTATGCTATTCTGCACGACCTGAAAATGATATTCTGAATATCCTGTAAGCAGTTATAAAGAAATTGTGGATGAGGAATGTTGTGAGGTTGACATTAAAGTGCTTTGATCTGGTGGCTAAAGTGGGAACTATCAAATGAGGCAGGTTTAATACTTTTAAATGTATTCAAAGTAGATAAGCCTACTCACTTGTAGCTCGTTTACGACTGACCAACACCCCCTGTACTCTCTACTCTCTGCTTATGGACTCCATCAAGTCAACTGTGCATTTGGTCAACATGGGCTACATGGGATTGTATATTAAGAAGTGGCACAACCTTGTATAACATTTTATTGCCACAATCTTGTTTATCTCGGGTGCAGGTCTTTTGTAAGCGTTGTTCAGTTTTTACAAAACAATCTGTCAGTTCTCACATGATCTGTAGCTTTGAGGCTTGGGGTACATGGTTTTTGAATGCATCTTTGGAATTATGTATCTGTTATTGGTCCTGAGGTTCATTTATTGAGTATACAGATATGTTGTTGGCTGAGCTATTCCATGATATGCGTGTGCATACAGCTGTTCAGTAGTAGTGATATCACACTACATTGGAGCATGAACAGTTCTTTAATTTGTATTTTATTAAATACACATGGAAATCGTCGTTTAACTATCCGAGACGTTGCTGACGAAGTGGGCGAGTTCTTTAATTTGTATTTTATTAAATACACTTCTCCACAAGAGACTGAATAACCAGCCAAAGAGTATGAGATCAAATTTTGACTGAAAAACTTCAGATGCATCGCGCATTTGTTGACTGGCGCGTAGAAAGAGAACCGTGTTGAAATCAGTCAGGAACTGCTTGCCAATGCAAATGGTAATGAAAAGTTTCTTAAGAACATCAAAACAGGAGATGAGACGTGGGTTTATGCTCTGAAACCGATTTATACATATAAAATACATTTTATATTAAAATATGTTTCATATAAAAGTTACAGATCTTATGGAGATGCGTACCTTATACCACATATCATTTTTTGCTTTTGACAAATGTGGTAGACAGTTTGATTTTTAATTTCTCGCAAAGTTGGCCAGTTTAGTGCAAAATTTAATCTTCTTTACCATCTTTCTTTAATATAGACTTCCAGTACCAAATTTCATCAAAATCCATTCAGTAATTTTAGATCTGGAACATGCAACACAATCTCCCCATTGTGTTCATTTTATGCACTTCATCCTATGACAATGCGCCGGCTCACGGGTCGCTCCTCTATCTGGCAAAATATCAGACAACCTTTGTGCCCCATCCACCCTATTTTCTGGACTTAGCCTGTCTGACGACATGTCCATATGAACAGGATCCTTCCATCTTTTTCTCGGACTGGGACCTGTTCATATCCGTTCTTGGCAGATGATCCAGAAGTGGTTTGCCATTGCCTTCTTCTGTGTGTGAATGGAGTAATTGTTGGGATGCCACGGAGGAAAACTCCGTGTTGCCTAGACCACGGCCTTGCCCAACACAAGTTATAAATTCGGGCACCGCCGGGAATCAAACCGAGACCCCAGGATTACAAGGCCAGCGTTCTAACCGCTAGACCACCGTGGCCATATCCTATGAATATACAATCATTAATGCAACATTACCGATACATAAGAATCTATTGTCTGAGTCACAGACGGTCATTAAACAAACCACAAATAAAAGTAAATACTGATAAGTACCTTTCCACTTGAAGTATAAAAAGATGTTTTCTTTTCAACAGGATCTAACAGGGAAAACTGTCTGTGATATTGTGGAAAGTTGCCAGAATTTGAAGAAACTAAACTTGGATGATGTGACAAAGATCTTTGATGATGATGTAATATGTATCATCAGAAAAGTTGGAGGCCAGCTGACATCTTTGATCTTAGATGGGGAAGATCTCACAGATGTTGCATTTTCTTACCTTAATAATTGTGCCAGGTAACATGCACTTTGATTTTTGCACAGTAAGATGAACGATTTAATTTGCATTACATATTTATTTATGGGCTGGGATAGCTTAGAAAAAGTATGGGCTTGGATGACCAGGGTTGTCTCCACAGTCATTGAAGTAAAGCCCATGCATTCTAGATATACAGGATGATTCAAAAGGTTGGGGCCAAACTGAAGGAACGTATAGAGGGACTCAGAGAGAACAACTTTCGAATAGGAATCCATGTCCTCCGAAGTTATCCTGAGTCAGTCGAGGCCATTGAAGGTAGGGAAGTCTGATAACATACCTCTGAAATAATCGTACTTTGCTATTCTCCTACTAGCTTAATTTTGGCCAGAATACTTGCTGCATCTGACGTGGTCCGTGGGACTCCTGGGGTATTTGAAATGGTGCGCCAGAGTCTCGTTCGCTGATGCAATGCCTGCATTGAATGTGGAGGATGCCACTTTGTAAATTTGGTTTGTAAGATTGCTAATGTAATCCTTGTTTTT